GTTAGCCAGAAGGAAAGGCTCGGTTGGGTCCAGTACTCGCCGTAAAGCGGACCGGCCAACCAAGCCCAAGGTTCAACTACGAGCTTTTTAACTGCAACAACTTTAATATACGCTATTGGAGCTGGAATTACCGCGGCTGCTGGCACCAGACTTGCCCTCCAATTGTTCCTCGTTAAGGTATTTACATTGTACTCATTCCAATTACAAGACCCGAAAGGGCCCTGTATCGTTATTTATTGTCACTACCTCCCCGTGTCGGGATTGGGTAATTTGCGCGCCTGCTGCCTTCCTTGGATGTGGTAGCCGTTTCTCAGGCTCCCTCTCCGGAATCGAACCCTTATTCCCCGTTACCCGTTGAAACCATGGTAGGCCACTATCCTACCATCGAAAGTTGATAGGGCAGAAATTTGAATGAACCATCGCCAGCACAAGGCCATGCGATTCGAAAAGTTATTATGAATCATCAAAGAGCTCGAAAGCATTGATTTTTTATCTAATAAATACATCCCTTCCAGAAGTCGGGATTTTTAGCATGTATTAGCTCTAGAATTACCACGGTTATCCAAGTAGTAAAGGTACTATCAAATAAACGATAACTGATTTAATGAGCCATTCGCAGTTTCACTGTATAAATTGCTTATACTTAGACATGCATGGCTTAATCTTTGAGACAAGCATATGACTACTGGCAGGATCAACCAGATAACTATCTTAAACCCCGAAGGGTACGTCGTTCAGAAAGACCGAAGTCTTTCGTCCCAACTGAAGTTAATCGTAATTGACAGTTGATAAATCAACCGGTAAATGCTCGCAATTCACTGTTTTACCAGCAATTCGCAAACAATTTACATCCATGTAGCCCTCTTTGAATTCCCCTGGTATGATGTCCGTCAAACACTTCAGTATGAAATACTAAAGGTTTAACATAACCAACCATGGAGGAGGTTACAAACAGAGAATCACAGAACTAAATCTGGCTATTCAATGTTGCAGACCCCCAAGTAAGTTTTTAGTTAACACTTGCCATAGGCTAGTAATCCACTAAATCCTTCAGCGCTTATACACAGAATCGTTAGATATCTGGTATAAGACTGTTCAGGTTCCTCCGTTTTCCCACAAATGTGTTCAAACAAGAGATAACCCATGTTGTTTTAGCGTAAAGAGCAATGGAAAACTTACGTTTCACCATTTAACTCTCCCCACTAAACAACGAGGCCATAAAGACATTAATTGAACTGAAGAGTAGAACTCTTTAATTCTTTTAATTGTCTCATGCTTTCGCATAAAGTACCTCCCGTCCTATTTTCATGTATCCTGCATAGGCTACAACCACATTCGACATTTTTAAATTTAGAATGCGAAAACGAAATTTGTTCTCAAAACGCCAAACCTATATTTTCAATGCGCACATAATCTCCTATAAAACATAACCCGCACTTTAAAAACTTTTGTTTTTCTGAAACATGCAACCACAAGACGTTTTGAAAAACACTATTTAGCATCTCTCTTAGTCGCACTTTTCTTAGTACTGCACTCCTACTTAGATTGCGGACCTATGTTTTACTCCCACTTCGGCTACATGTCTGCATCAACTCCATCAATTATTCCTTGTTGGCGCCTCTTTTCTTTAATAATAAGTATCTGTCATGAACATATAACGTTTCTCTATCTAACGGTACCTTTAAAATATGCTTTATAGGTATCTTTTAATTTAGCTTCCTAGGTCATGTTCTGGCTTTCTCCTTTCTTGGGCAATCCATTTTGGTGAAAACACGACGCCTTGTTCGCCAGCTAAAATATCTTTTTTTTTCTGTTTTTAGCTCTGCATTCACTTCATTGTGTTCAGGATCTTCTTTGATATCATTGGTCTGTTCATCATATATGTTCCTCTCTTCTTTTCATTTCCTTTTATATTTACATATATATATATCTTCCAACTTCAATGACTTTTCTTCAAGAAAATGTATAATTATGTGTAAAATACAATATATTGCTTGAAATACACTTTAGCGTAATTGAAGACCTTCATTCCTTTTTATCATCTCTGTTCAACGTAAGACAATCCACCATCGTATACGAATGGACGGCGCACAGTGACCACTTCACGCATAATAGGATGCGCATTGAAAATTTCGCACTTTTTTTTTCGGCATAAATATCAAGGAATTCCCTCCGAATTTCAACTCTGCACGATGAATTCCGATTCCAACGGCATTGCATACGCCCACAGCATGACTTGTCTTGCAGGTTAGTTCAACACATGTAGGTCCATGTAAGGTAATGTAGAGTTTGTAGGTACGTGTAGGCATTCTGGGCTCTGCACGACCCCAGGTCCTATGGGGATATTTCGGTGGTGTCTGGAGGTTTCCTTTTATTTGATGATAAAATCCCAAAAAATCCCCCCCGGAAGCATATATCTTACCTAAAATGTATGTATTTCGGTTGCGGCCATATCTAGCAGAAAGCACCGTTTCCCGTCCGATCAACTGTAGTTAAGCTGCTAAGAGCGAGACCGAGTAGTGTAGTGGGAGACCATACGCGAAACTCTCGTGCTGCAATCTTTTTTTTTTTTCGCACTCAAAATTTTCTCAGTAGTGCATTCAATATACAGCCATAGCTAGAAAAAGTATGTGTATGTACTATTGTCTTCTCATCACTTTATGAACTCCACCCAAGATTTTTTTGACTCTTCGTGCATCGAGACCAGCGCGTATGTTTGATGCATGTTTAATACATCATCAAGATGTGTAAATTGATCAACGTGTTTTTTTTTCTCTGGACAAGATAATTGTTCACGATATAGACCAAATAAAATGTATGGAAAATCGATTCAACTTTTTTTCAATATTTGTTAAAGATACAATTTATGAATCTCGCACGACCTTTTCATACACTAACAAAACTGCCAAAGACAAGCCAAGTAGACTGTATCTTTGCCAGTTAAGCTATGTAGTAAAGACTGAATACCAAAGTAAGTTACCCGGACATCAATCTTAATAAAAATGTTAAACTCCTCTAAATACTAGTTAACTTCTGTCAACTACTACCAAGAGGAGATTGTGTTGTGTAACACAAACAAATCGGACAACTGAAGCTTAATCTCAGCAGATCGTAACAACAAGGCTACTCTACTGCTTACAATACTCCGTTGTACATGTAAGTCGTATGCAAAGGATTTATCCCCGCGCATTATGACATTGCTATTCGCCGGCAAGCACACAAAACCTTTCCGTTAAGCGTACTATTGCCAGCCTGCTATGGTTCAGCGACTCAAAGAGCCTTATTCGTATCCAACTAAAATGTGCGAGGCAAAAATCATCGCTTTCTAGCATGGATTCTGACTTAGAGGCGTTCAGCCATAATCCAGCGGAT